TAAAAAGGAAGACACTAATCGATTTCATTCCCAATCGGGCACTCTGGGACCCTTATCGCACTTAGATAAGGTACTTTAAATTCCTTCCCGGATGTCTGCGTCAAGGCTGATGGACTGTTATGCAACTTGGCCAGGTGACCAACAATTTATTCCGTGTTATGTTTTTGGCTCAGCGGGCTTTGTATGCGGCACGTGACATTGCTGCATATTTATTGTTTTGCCATACTAACTCAAAAACGTATTAATTCCTTAACCATTATAATAAAGGTTTCAAAAATTAAAAATTTTGCACAACCGACTTCTATATAAATAAAATGAGAACATCATCAATGTATTCGAAGTCAATTAAATATGCATTATTAAGGGTTACTCAAAAGTGATTGGTCAGATGTTGATCACATTTATATGGGACCATACGAGAAGCACCAGTTTTCAAATAAAAGAAAAAGAATCATCAAAAACAAAAATTAGTCTGACTTCCTCCTCCTTTTTAAGTCGGTTAAAAAGTTATTTCTAATGGTCATATGTAGTGATCGAGGGGCCTGTGCACGTCAGTAGAACGTTTGCAGTGTATTTATTTTTTACTTTCTATTTATACTCATCGTAAACCACCACATTTAACACAATCGTTTTAAATTGTGTTTATGTATTATAGTATTCTATGGTTTTAATCATATTTGATGTGGTTGACTGGAATACTAGAATACTTTAAGACGACGTTGCAGTACTTTTTAGCCGATTTCAAAAAAAGAAGAAGACTTACAATTCGTTTTTTTTGTATGTATTTTACGCGATTATTTTATGCGTGGTAGAGTCATGCTGCAGTTATATTAGTAGTATAGTTGTACGAATGGGTCGGCTCGACCGGGGAAGGACCACGCTCTCGCAGAATACCAGCGTGAAATAGTAGCTTAATGCTGCTGTTTTTCGTATGGTGAGTGTAGAGAAACAGAGACCCCTTTTTACTGGAAAAGAGGCATTCCATCTTAGTCCTCAAGGGTGACAACGCATCTGCATTGGTAGGTAATTGCGGTTAGATATAGATGTCTATGAGCCACAGCAACCACTTACCATCAGGTGGACTGTGTGCTCGTTTGTCATCCTGTCCTATGAAAAAAAATATCTTCGTCAATTGTGAACCGAGTTTGATGATTTACATCAAAATTTTCGAGAAAAATATAAAAAAAGGGATGAAGTTTTTAATGTAATATTTAGAAGACATTGAGATTGTGATATTCCTTTGTCCAAAAGATAAAAGGTAACTATTATATGGAGGAACTGTTCGGATTAATCCTGGCCTTAAATTACACGAACACACATCGCGGCAAAACTCCCGATACCATCCAAACCATCTGGATGCTTAGCGGTGCACCACTGTACGTTTTACTAGAAGTTTTCTCCCACGTACGACCCCTCTGTTGAATCGTTTACCACCGGCGATTTTTCCGAACCGATACGACTGAGGGGCCTTCAAGAAAAGAGCTTACTCGTTTCTAAAGGGCCGGTAACGCATCTGCAATTCCCCTGGTGTTGCGGTTGTTCGTGGGCGGCGGTAGTCACTTAACATCAGGTGAGCCGTATGTTTGTTTGCCCCCTCTCCTATACAAAAAAAAGTTAAAGCTGACTTCAAAAAACTATACAATAATTTCTAATTCTGAAGTCAGTGTTAAGCAGCGTATAAAATTAAAGCCAAGACTTCACACTTCATTATTTTATTCCTTTTAGTTTTAAAAGTAAATTTTTACCTTACTTGAAAACGTACTCAAATATAGTACATAGATATGGCGGCAAGCGATGCATACTAGCGATGTGTGAAGACAAACGCGTCATAATAATTGACACGTAATAAAAATTAATAGATACATAATAAATAGCTACTTAAACGAGATATCGTATTGAAATTGTGTAAAAGTTATTTTAAATGAAAAGCCTTAGTATTTCTATATCATGTTGATAGTACGTTTTATAAAATCGTTTTTATTATAATCTCTAAAATAAAATCGAAGAGGATCAAGCAATCGCTCGCGGTCAATTAACACGTATTATTTATGAATATAATCACTATGTTCGGTGGGCACTCCAAGAGTAAGAGTATTCTTGGAGTGCCCACCGAGGCATATTCGAGGTCGTGAAGTACGTTGTTAGTTTCAAAATCACCTCGCTTTGGTACTTATTCGCCCGACATTTCAGAAACATATATTAGCGTTACTGTTTTAAACTCTACTGCTGATCATAGGCATCCTCCATAGATTGCCTCATAGGGTCCCCCTATTTGACATAGTTGTCACGTTTAATAATCGGGTTATCTCCTGATTTGATTCCCTCTGTCGCCTCTTACGACACCCACGGGATGATAATATGGTGTAGTGGATATTCTTGTGCCGCCCCTACACGACCCCGTTCATATATTATTTGTAAACTATCACATTCTGGATACAACGAATATAAATAACATGTCATTAATTTGCTTAAAATTAAAAATTCTTGAAAGATAGGGCATTATATCGTGTAAAGTGATATCGATCGATTTCTTGATGGAACTTAAGTGGCACCAACCACTTTCTCAAGGACGCTGATGCGAAAATCAACCAAGATTTTCCACTTTTGAAGAACGTGGATTTATTTGGGTTTTATATAAAATACAAAATTTTTAAGTATATTATTATAATTAATCCCAACCGAAATTTCCTATCATACATAGTCAAAAAATTTCTCTCTGAAGTAGTAGGAGGTCAAATTACATCGCTTGTCAGTACTAGCCTGCCACATTACATTTGAATTTTTGGTATTAAATTACTGCTTAAATTACTGCATAAGTTACCGCGTGAAATAGTGTTACACTTAGTTTACACTAGAGTTTATCTAAATATGACATTGTACTAGGTGAAAAAAATGTAATTTTTCAAGATGGAGGTTTAAGGTTGCGGTATTGTTGTACTTTATGAGTATCAATTACTATTACATGAATCTTTAACATTTTAATAAAGCTAAACCAAGACTTAAAGGAAGATGGTGGATGATAAAAATGCACAGAAAGCCGTTCGTCTCCGTTGAGCTCATGTCGCACGATGAACAAGCTGTGGTGTGGCCACTTGACGCAAAAATTACTACGATAATCGTCTTTGATATGCGAAAAGAGTGTGCGTAGGAATTACACGCTTTAATTCCTCCCTCTCCCTTCAACCATTGGACGACCAGGCGGTCGGCGGGTTTTCAAAACCCCTTTGTTGTCGATATTCCACGCATTAGAACCAAACGGTTCACTTCGACTTTTTTAATGCGTACAACAAAGGGGTGGAATAATTTGCCGGCGTCTATCTTTCCGTCCAAATACAATCTGGGCGTCTTCAAGGCAAGAGTGAATAGGCTTTTGTTACGCTAAGACAGTGCGATTTACCATCTAAGGCTGCATCACCACTTACCACCAGGTGGGATTGTGGTCAAGCACTGACTTATAAAAATTAAAAAAAAAAGACCGCCACCGCAACTTTTGCCTTCCGTCATACGCCATATTGATTGACGTTGTAAAATTATCGCCATAAATAGTGGCTACACCTAGGTGTTGTTTCAATTATGGCCATAATTATTGCCATATCACAGTAGTGTGGCCGAGCATTATTAATACTGAGTGAGATAACCGCAACCACTTCAAAGAGATTAATACGTAACTTAAGTGAAATATACGGCTTGATTATTCAGATGTTTGCAGATAAGATAAACCGCGACGCTGTGAATAGAAATCACTTTATTTAGATACTAAACTGTGCACATATCCATTAGATGGGTGCTTTCTGCTATGATTTGCAAAAAAAAGATGGCCCGATATTTCGCATGTATGAAAATGTGCGCCTTTAGGTTAACTAGAAAAATTTTATAGGATTTGTAATTTTTTGCAAACGGTTTTAAACATAAATTTTATTATAAATTAAGGATATTCATCCAACATCTACAAAGTTTTAAAGAAGCTAAGAGTCCTTGCAAAGGTGCGGCGTTACTTCACGCCGGGACAGCTGCTTTCTTTATATAAAGCGCAAATCCGGTCGTACATAGAGTATTGCTGCCATAAATAGGCTGGTGCTGCAAAATGCCACCTAGCAGCTTCGAGCTCAATGGAAAGGCGAGTTAAGAGGCTTAGACCCGAAGTTGGTTAAACCCAATCTTGCTAGTCTCAAACACAGGCGCAAAGTAGCCAGCCTTTTGGTTTTCTACAGGATGCATTTCGGAGAGGGTGCCCCTGAATTGCATAATTTAATTCCTCCTTCTCCCTTCCACTATCAGATAATCAGACGTTCGGCCAGTCTCCATCCTTTCGTTGTTGACTTATCACGCATTCGAACTAAACTGCTTGCTACATCGTCCATCTTGCGTACAGCAAAGAGTGGAATAAGTTGCTAGCATCTGTGTTTGCACCCGATTACAATGTGGGTGTCTCCAAGACAAGAGTGAATAGGCTTTTGTTAAGTCAGTGCGCTTCACCATATTAGGCTACATCACCAGTTACCATCAGGTGGGATTGTAGTTAAGCGCCGGTTTAGAATAATATAAAAAAGGCAGTACCTACAAGAATTTTTGCCCAGCTGATTTCTTCAAGAAGGGCATCAATAAACTGCTACTACGTTGGCAAAGTTGCAACTGTTACACGAGTGATTACTTTCATTAATAGCAATAAAAAATATAGAAAACAAATTATTCGTCAACTGATGTCATAAAGAATAGCAATTTTATAGTTAATTACCTAATATTTTGTAACGCCTCAATTGACAATTTATTTGGATCGTTAAGTTTTGTTATTTGTAAAATTGTTAAATGTGATTTTATTATAAATATTGGCCATATGACTATATAATAATGCCTTTCTCAGAAATTCACTTTTATCAAAATTGTTCGCACTGTGTTAATGTTAAGAATAATACAGTAAATTTGAAAGATATTATCTCTAAAAAAAACTGATAAAAGATTTTTTTTGTACAATTAGTAAAGTTTTTCATCATTTGTTACAGTCAAAGGCGCCGGGGAAGGTGCTTTTTGACCAAGTGTGTCGACAGCTACATCTCCTGGAAGCAGATTACTTTGGATTAGAATATCAAGATTCCGGTGGTACAAAGGTACTATTGAAGGGAACTGAACTGAAAACTTTATTTTTCGACGCAAGAATTTCGTTCGTCTAACATCAACATGTTTTTAATGTAGGTTACTATATTCACGTTACCTACGCCATCGTTATCTACTTGCACCAATCTGTTGGAAATGTACAGCTTCTCCAAACATAAAGGATAAATTGCTTTGTTATTGCTACGCTTATAACAAGCGGATTCTGCCCGTCATTGGTCCGGGTAATTGAAGACGCAAATATGTTGGTCAAAGTGCAGCCGTGGCGAGGCAGCACTTTCAAGTAAAATTATATCGACATACGACGAAATGAAATGGGTTCACTTCCATCGCCCACTACAAATCTAATACGGCGGATAAATGTGGTTTAAAATACTATATTTCAACCGTGTAGTGGCGGTGTAAGAATACCAACGACCCCATGTCGTCCCGTGGGTGTCGTGAGAGGCGACGGAGGGTAACTGAAACAGAAGGTGGGCAGTAGCATTTTACTGCAACTCAAAATAATAAAAAACAGCGGTTACCAACCTGACTGCCAGGCGTGGCAACTGTGGCAAAATCTTATGAGGTTATTTATGGGGGAGGCCTATGTGTTTTATATACGCTGTATTGTTAATAGTGACTGCCTCGTTGGTCTAATGGTTGTAGTAGTGCGACTGCTGATCATGAGGTCCTAGGTTCGAATCCCGGGTCGGGCCAAAAATTAATTATTGAGTTTTTCCGTCAAGAAATTGTCAGTAGCTGCCCGGAGTCAGGAAAATGGCGGTGTCTCACCCCCGTGCCTCGGAAAGCCGTTGGCCCTGCGCCTGATCTCCCTCCGGTCGTGTCGGTTTACCGTCCCATCGGATTGTGAGAATGAGGGAAGAGAGAGTGCACCAGTGCTTGCGCATACACTTGGGCACTATAATCCTGTCCTGCGCCGATGGCTAGCCTCCGTTGAGGCAGGCCGCCGTGGCCGAAATTCGGTCTGGAGGATTATTAATGTTAATAGTATTGTATATTTATTAAATCGTGTGCCGGCGGTATGAAATATTTTGTTATAGTTATTCTATTTCACGATGAAGGTTTCGCCTTGATTGTAGTAGTGATGTGTACCGACAGGCGCGTTTGTGTGTGTGTAACTGCGATTCGTTGGACTCGCGATCGTGACTGAGCGCTTCCGAGGTCTACGCACACAATGTGTGTATGTGCACGGCTAACAACAACCAAAGTCATAACTTCATCGTGAAATAGAATAACTATATCACGTTTCGTTCCGTGAATGTCGTAAGAGACGATAATGGGAAACGCAAGAAAAATCTTATTGAAGAATATAACATCGTTTACGCCTGATGCAAAATGACCCGGTGACAGCGTAAAAGGTGCAAAACGTGTGATAAATTGTTAAATCCCCTTGCAAGGAAGAGACCAATGCCCAGGACTTTGAATGTAAAGAGCTAAATATTTGATTGTCTGTGTTCTTTAATTAGTTCACGTGGTAGAGCCACGCTGCAGCTATATTATAGTTGTAGCACGAATGAATCGGCTCGACCAGGGCAGCACCACGCTCTCACAGAATACGAGCGTAAAATAGCAGCGTAATGCTGCTGTGTTTCATATGGTAACTATAGAAAAACGGAGACCCTTTTTACTGGAAACGAGGCATTCCATCTTAGTCCTCAGGGGTGACAACGCATTTGCGTTTTGATTCTTAATTAAGGATAAATGTGGATGTTTATGAGCTACAGCATATCCGCTTACCATCATGTGGACTGTGTGCTCGTTTGTCACCCAGTGGTATAAAAAACATGTATAAGCTGCGAATATCCAGCTATTTCTACTATTATGAGCCAGTATTTGATTATTATGCTACATGATGGTAAGTGGTGATGCAGCCAAAAATGGTAAAGTGCATTGATAAACTTTACAAAAGCCTATTTACTTGTGCCTTGAAGAGGCACTCGCATCATAATCGCATGGATAGATAAGTGCTGTAAAACTATTCCACTTCTTTTGCTATACGCATTATGAACGAAGAAGCAAAAAGTTTGGTTCCAAGTGATGGTGGTCCGACGATGGAATGGACAGGGAGGAAAAAGCTCACTACTTGTGTTCGAGACGTATTATAGTATAACAGCTGACATATTGAAAAAAAAAAAACAAAATGTGAATGTGTCTTTGCGCCAGAATTACCAGGCTCTTGCATAATATACGTTTGTGGCGTATTTACGGAAAGCTGTTTTTATTCGAAAATTTGTGTGTTCCGCAGTATTGGCTGGACGTGGAGAAACCAATGTGCCGTCAAGTGGGCCTCTCGATGCTGGAGCCGACGTTGCGCTTCTGCGTGAAGTTCTATACGCCGGACCCGGCACGACTCGAGGAGGAGTTCACGCGCTACCTATTCTGTCTGCAGGTAGGCCGCCAATCGTATTGTGTTTGTAGCGTGGGCGCTAAGAGGCTAGGAGGGTGCATAGCTGGATAGCGAAACAGATGCGTTTAGCATTTGGGTAACTGTTTTATAAATTCAAGTTTTGTTCGCGCTAGGTACGCATATAGTTATATAACACATAGAAATGCAATTACTTATTACAACAATTACGCCCTATTGTGGCGACGTCATAGAGTGGACTTTCGCAAACTGTTAGAGTGTCGTAAGAGGCGATAGATAGAAAATGGAACATGTGATGGACAGCGACATTCTCTTGAAAACAACTCACAATGGGTGCGTTTGGCAGAAAAAAGCGCTAGCAAGCGCTTGTAAACAAAATGGCGATCGTAAGCTGTAAGCGCTGTCAAATCGTAAGTAGTTATTTTCCTCCAAGACACGATGTTAGTTTTAACCTCGGAAGCTAACCTAATTTAAATATTTGTTTGTAAAGTATTCATATTAAAAACTTACCAATCATGAATTTTTAATAACATGTATATGTCTATTCATGTCATTATATTACTTAAAACTAATATTGCACAAAACAACTTATAAACTCTACTTCAAAACAAACAAATTAAATAAGCAAAATGGCGGATTGTGTCAGCGCTACTGAAGTAGCAATCGTGTCCTGGCCGAAAACTATTTTAGCGCTTGTAAGCGCTTGCTAGCGCTTTTTTCTGCCAAACGCACCCAATATGTAAGTAATAAAAACTGCGGTTGACAACCTCTGCCTGCCTAGCATGGCATCTAGCAAATGTTCTTCATTTGAGGCATTCTATGAGGTAGGCATTCAGAAATAGACTACTGATAACAGATTGTGTCATAAGGAGGATAATTGCATTAGTTGCCACGCTCTCAGACGGGTTGGCAGACGCAGTTTTTTTTAATATTATGGGTCGTTATTAGGACGAGGCTGCCCATCTCCTGGTTTGCTTGCCTTTATCGCTTCTTACGACACTGACGGGACGATATGGGGAAATGAATACACGCCAATACACGGCTAATTTATTTGATTTTGATTATTAAGACAAAAATCCACGACCCCCAAACATTTTACATGACGTATTAATCACTGTTTATACTAAACGCTGTTGGTACTACACTAAAATACTATATTTTTTTTATCTGACAAAATATTACACTAGCACCTAGGTAGGTACAAAGCTCCTATTTCTGTCGTCCAACAGTAGTCCTTGCGCTGCCGTGTTCTGTCGTTGCGGGCAGTGAGGCATTCCATCTCAGCCCTCGGACTACGCAACTAAAACTTTCTTTGTTTAATGTTTAAAAGTGTCAAAGGAGTGCAGTAACCGCTTAATATCAAGTGGACTGTGAATTCGTTGTCACTTCGGTTTCTTAAAAGAAATACTTTCTCTTTAATCCTGCACACAAAAAGAAGAATGTTGTTTTTCTTGTTTTTGGAAAAACCTCTGTTGTCAAATAAACGAAAATCCGTTCGAAGTTTAAAATTAAATAGAGAAAATAAATACTATTTTTCGCTTTCGTAAATGTTTGTCGTTTTCTAATAGTAGTTGGCAACCCTACCTGCAGGTGAAGCGGGACCTCGCGAACGGCTGCATACAGTGCAACGAGAACACCGCCGCTCTCATGGCCAGCTATATTGTACAAGGTTAGTAAAACGTGTCCTGAGTGCTACGTTGTTGTCCTGTCTCATGTCGACAATGGTAGCCATTTTAATTACTTTTTAGTCGACTTTAAAAAAGGAGGAGGTTCAAATTACGACTGTATGTAGGTATGTTAAGCGATATTTTCACCAATGAAGACCCAATTTTGAAAATCCTACTCCTAGTCATACTTTGGGCTTGGTCCCATATAATATTGGAGAAGGACCCCCAAGAGTGGCAAAATAGGGGATGAAGTTTTTAATGTAATTATTTAGACATGGAGATTGTGATATATTTTAGTCTACTTTAAAGGGTGATAAAATTACTTTTAACAAAAGTAAAAACCGACTAAAGAACTAAAAAGATTGAAATAATGTTACATTCCAAAGACCGCTGCGGTGCTGAGCCATAGCAATATTATGTTATATTTCAAATTGATTTAATGTGCAAATTAGCATTTTTTAATCGTAAGACGCTCATTCCATATAAATCGTTATTTGTTATACAAGTGAGGAAGACACGAGCATACAGCCCACCTGAAGATAATTGGGTGCTGGCCTATTAAGACCTACAGCTATCCTCAACTAAGGATTAAAATTTAGATGCGTTGTCTCCGTAAAGACTAAAATGGGGGCTTCAATTCTTGTCACTCGCCATATAAAACAGTAGCATTATATTGCTTTATCATGATAGTATTCTATGTGAGCGTGTGCCTTCCCCGGTCGAGCTGGCCTATTCATGCAGCCCTAATACAGCTGCAACGTAGCTTTTCCACGAAAATTTCAAGAGCGGCAACCTATTTGCTATGAATAAATTACCATACCCGTTCTATAATGTATTTATGAGATTATAGCACAGA